ATTCAACATAAGAACAAATACAACATTCTTTACATTTTACTTCTTGCAATATACATGAATTCATACTCGCATTCTACAAACATCGATCGATAATTATTGTACAATCGTTATGCAAACATCTCGCCGAACTCCGAACGTTCTCGTCCCGCGCATTTGAGTCACTCCCACGCCCCTTTTTGCTATTATTTCTAGACCATCAATGTGTTTTAGTGTGTTGGACCAAGTTTACGTGTACGCGGATAGGTCCGGTATCTGTTAACAATATATTATGGGGTCAACACATAACATATCCACAGCTTGGAACTGAATAAGCCAATTATGTAAGGAACATATTGGAACCCTTGTGTTGATTTTTCATGTGAATTTGATAAAAAAAATTGACCTGTAAAAAACGTTAATTTCATAAAAAAAATAAAAAATGAGTTGTTTTGAGTGCTAAAATAAGCGAAAATATTAATTAATTAAAAGAAAGAATGATGAAAATATATAAGGGGTACACATACAGCGGTGAAAGGTAAACCAAGAATGAAACAATACTGCCTGCACATTGAAGACAAAGAAATATATTTAAATTGCATAATATAATTTTGTACAAATTAAAATTATTAAGATTAACCATGCATTGCACGGCGTGCTGTCTATGATCATAAATATGTTATCTAGGGTATAATTAATTATTTATTCAATAATCTTACATGCATAAATGCTACCATTTGGGAGATAATAAAAAGGAGAAGATGATATTGTATTAATTGTACCTAAAATGCCAAATGCGATAGCCAAGTGACTCATTTTGAATTTCGACGGAACTTGAGAAAAACACACAAATCTACACACAGACTTGTATTCAAAGGAAGGACTAATTAATTAGCTTTTAAACACACATGACTAACAAAGTTGTGCTAATTCATTTATACAGGAGGTGGAACATTGAATTAGGTCAATTTCATGGAAGAAAAGGTGAAAGTATCATATGCAACTTGCGGTGGGATGGGACGGGCTGGGGCAAGGCAGGGCGTCGTGGGTTGGAGTGGAGTGTGGTGGGTTGTGGTAAGAGTGTAAAACCAATTTAATTGGTATTTCAAATGTTACACGTCAGAAAATGTGTAATGCGAGACAACTTTCAATCACGTTATCTTTGTATCAAAAAATCAATTGAATGGAGCCACATTGACGTTGATGTTCCTTGTTTGTTCGTCATATTAGCACGGCTTGTCTTGCCGGTTTTTATATGGAGGGGTAGAATGAAAGCCTCTTTATTAATTCTTGACTGTTGTTAAAAAAAACTCAAGATTGTTGATGTCTATGACAATCCAAAATGTTTTTTCTTCCCTAACGCTCCACTTAACCATATTTAGAGGGTTTCTACCATTCACACACTCCTTTTTCCCAAGCCCATTTAGTTCTGTTGCAGGTAAATAACCCAAAGTAGTGGGCCCCAACTGGCTCTTTCTGACGTGTCACCCACTCATCCACTTGGGCCTAAGGTTTCCAACTCATACTTAGGGTCCGTTTAATTGCAAGAATGGAATTTGGATAAAAAAAAAAATGAATTTCATGTAATTGAATTGTCTAGAAATTGTTTCACTGAAAATTGTCAATTAAATGTGTTTGATTGATATAATCTTTTATTTGAAAAATATTGAAAGTCGTTTGGCTTTGTTTTTAATGAAAATTATCGATTAAATGAATAAAATTTGTTACAATTGTAGACAGAATTTATTTCTATTGCCAAAAAAAAAAAAAAATATGGAACCTGGAAAAGCCAATTCCAACCAAAACCATGGGAATTGGTTTTCCACCAACCTTAGAGTTTAGGGGAGTGTTTAGCGCTTCCATGGTTAAACCCTAAATATAATCTTATTCAGCAAAGAACCAATCAGTTGTTGCCATGTCATCATCAATATATACACGGCATAATGGCCACTTGTGTGTGTTGGTGGTGCAATTTGTTGAACAAGTTTTTCATCTTAATCATAGAAATATCAGAGGGGATTCATGGTACAAAAATTTTATAAAAAGCAATTGAAGCATGCGTTGGACTTTGTTCATTTATTTAAAAGATTGAATTGTTATAAATGCATTTAAATTTTGTACATTGAGACTAGATTCCATTTTAGATAGAATGTTTTTGGGCCATTTTCAAACATTGGTGAAAACAAGACTTGAATTCGTGATTTTTTTGATCAACCATAATATCATAATTACCGTCTTATATAAAAAGTTAAAGGTATTAGAGAGTGGTCATATGTATTCGCCATCTCTTCAACACGTGAAGTACAATTTTCAATAAAATAAAACAAAATAGAAGTAATACAACAACTAACTCTAAATCATTATGACGTAATGCCCTTTTCAACTACTCATTCCGTCTTATTTATATAGGCTGGTTTTATTTTTCATACGAATTAAGAAATCTTATTTAATGTTATTGAAAAAGTAATTTATGCCAAAACTTTTCTAGTCTACCCTTATTTATATTTGTACAATTTAAAAAATAAGTGGAAAAAATTGGTTATAACTAGACAAATTAAATAAGAGTATATTAGTAAATTAACAAAGCAAGGCGTTCTTAATAAAGAAACGAGACTATATAATAAAGACAAAAAAAAAAAAAAGTAAGCCTACATAAATGGAACGAAGAAAGTACGAGATAATATGAAAAGCAGAATCTTAGAGCATTAAATAGTAATGAAAATATTTAAGTGGCTCAACTATATTGTTTATTTGAATTGTGTGCTTGGATTCTAGAGGAATTCTAGGCCTTGTTTGATCCCTATTATTTTCATAATACACTTTTTTTTTTATTTTTAACAACATATTTTTCAATAAAATAATATTATACGCAAATTGAAAATTTTCCTTATTTTTTAACTATATATTTTTCATCAATCTATTATTCCAAAATACGTTCTTAGAAAAAATGGGCCTAGACAAGCCACTAGTCTCTCATTCATTATGAAACTGTTTGATCTCAATTTTATTCCATATATAATACGTATAAAACGAATATAATAGGAGTCGAACTGTTCACACATTTATATATCCCCTATTTGATGGCCATTACTTAAAAAAAAAATGACGTTTTGGTATAGTAATTTTTTAGAGAATGAGTAATTGAAAAGTAAGAAAAAAATTTAAACTTATGTGCAAAATATTTTTTTTTTTTGAGTACGAGAATTAGCCTCGTTTGACCCTCATTTTGTAGAAATGAAAATTAGTGGAATTGTGTTTTTTTTTTTTTTTGAAAAATGAGTGGTTAAAAAGAAATATTTTTTTTATTTACGTGTAATCTTATTTTATAGAAGATTGTACGGTTAAAAATAAAAGAGAAAAAATGTAATGTAATAGAAATTAATGGAGGTCAAACGGGGTCTAAAGTGTAATGTTTTAAAGGGAGAAAAACAAGGGCATGGCCCCTTTGTCAACCAAATTGTACAGTTCTAGCGTGGATCATATCATTCAGTATACGTCTCAATCCTTTTACCACATATGTTTACAATACCTATTTAAAATAAAGGATCATGTTACACTTACAAATTTTTTTTACAAAATCTTTCATTTACTACTCACAATAGGAGGTGGGGGCTACGACCTGACATTTTTTAAATTCACGTGGGAGGCCACTTATTTGTGAGAGTAAGTAAATTACTTTATATACATTTGTTTGTGCATATATATTTATCGTAAAATAAAATAAGTACAATATTAGAGACTGACATAATTGTACAAATTTTGGGCCATAGTTAGTTTGTTTTATATATTAAATGTGGAAGTGTCATCTCAGCGATGGTTCTATGGTGTAGTGGTTAGCACTCTGGACTTTGAATCCAGCGACCTGGGTTCGACTCCCGGTAGGACCTTTTTAATTTTAGCTTACTATTTTGTGGTTCTTAAAACTAAATCATAGGTGCTTTCAATTAGTTAAAGGTCTAACACTATTGTTATAACCTAACAAAAAAAATTGGAAGAAGTGTGAGATATGCCCTACGAAAAAATGAATTGATGGACTATTGAGTACAATCCCGTAACTAGATAGACTATGGATTCACTAAAAGTTTTATATAACATTTGCGATGTTGCCATCAACATACGCTTGATTTTGACTATGAAAAACTCTAAGTTCAAGTCAAAGCTCATAAATTTTTTTGATGAATATATGAGGAATGATTTAGGAAAATACTTTTGGATTAATTAGGCCAGATAAATTAGAGGCTTTATAAACTAAAAAAAAAAATGTTAAATATATACATGTACATTTTACAATTTAAATAAAACATAGTTAAAAATAGTAAAGCATTAATCCATTAAAAACATTAAAAATAATTTTATTATTAACAATCCATTAAAAATAGATTGTTATGTTGATCAAATATATTAATTATCATAAATATTTCAAAATATATACATTTAAAATTTTAATATTTCAAAAATTTTATTATTAACAATCCATTAATAATAGATTGTTATGTTAATCAAATATATTAATTATCATAAATATTTCGAAATAATTTTGGAATATTCCTTCTAAACATTTGATATTTAGTTGTACATAGATAATTCATCTAAAAAAATATATTCAGAAAAATAATACCGCTCATAGATAAAATAAGTAAATGTTATATGTAAAATTTAAATCATGTCGAATGAGCTATGTATTAAATGTGTCAATTTATATTCTTATAATTTACCTAGAGCAAAGTAATTATAATTTATTGTAGAAAATTTTTTCAACTTTTTCTTTAAAATGACATTTTAGATATATCAACTTCATTTTAGAACGAACAAACATTGTTCAAAAAGTAGTCAAATATATACTTGATAATATGATATTGTCAAAAGAAATAATTCTAAAAATTACCATTTTGGTTGAATCTCTTTTACCTTGGCATAAATTGTCAAGATTTTATGTATAAAGAGTTCTAATGTGTACAAAATCTTGAATAATACTTGTAGATAATAGAATTATATAAGAATTTATGTAAGATCTCAAGAATAAAATGTCAAAGTTTGTGTAAATGTTATTGTAACTGTAAGGACGGTAAGGTTCAATTCCAATTACCTCTTCCACTTCGTCGGCACCACCACTTACCTCTGTCGTCTCGTCGGTGGGGTTTATTGTTAATTCTGGTGCAGTCCATCCGCGTGTTCCGCATAAAACTGGTCAAAGTCAACTCTACAGCACAACATACTCAAAACAGCCGCCTTCTTATAGTATTTTTTAATACTCTATTACTTTTTTTCTTTCTATCATCACATTTCAATTTTATAGGCAGGGAATCAAATTGAAAGAAGCAATTTTAGAGAGAGAAATGAATGGGGTGACGGTGCCGGAGAGTGACGAGTATAATGGTGCGGCGCCGGCGATGCTGCGGACTTACCAAACCTGGAAAGGCAGTAATGTAATTTTTATCACTCTTTTTCCCCCTTTTTTATGCTGCTCTCCTGTTTACATTTTAAAGAAAATTGAATGGGTTCCTATTATTTGGTTAAAAATATCAATTTTTTAGGATCAGTAATTCCTCTAGTTGCAGCGAAAAGAAGGTTTTACGATCGGGCTCTTAGATGTATCTTTATATTTTAAGTAAATTTCAAATTTATTATTAATGCTTCTCGACATAGCTAAGATTTTGAATCTTTATCGGATCCTTAAAATCGGCATAAAACATAGCAGAATTGAAGCTTTATAGCTGAGATTCAATTGATATGTATGTATAAAGATTCATTTTTTTCACAGAAAGTTATGTTTCCATTTTTAAAAACTTGAATGATGGAAAGAGATCTAATGATGAAGTTATCGTATTAATTTGTTCTACAAAAACAAAACAAAATTTGCATAAAGGAAAGTTTGCTTATTCTTTGTTAGTGGTGGTTCTGAAAATTTTACTACTTAAACTTGAAGTAAACATGATCATTTTGTAGAACTGCACTTTAGACAAAAATAAGCTCCTGTATGGATTAGAAAAATATATAAAAAATTGGGGGTACTATTTATTAAATTCGAAAGGAAAAGAGAAAAGAAATGGAATTTTGAAGTTAGGTATTATTTGTGCGTAGATCTTGCTTTAGGATGGCATTAGCTGAAATCCTACTTATGCATGAACATTTTGGGGAATGAATTTTTCTGCTTACCTACCGCAGGCTCTCCTAATTATGTTAATGTATTGGCCAAATTGCGTTTCTGCGCTCTTTCTAATGTTTGGGCTGTACGGTATAGTTCCGTTTTCTGTGTTTTTCCTATAATATTCATATTTTCATCGTGCAGATATTTTGTCTCGGGGGAAGGTTGATTTTTGGGCCAGATGTAAGATCAGTCTTTCTAACAATAGTTCTGATAGTTGCTCCTATCTCTGTTTTTTGCGTCTTTGTTGCAAGAAAACTGATGGATGATTTTACTGGCAATTGGGGAATTTTAATTATGGTTGTAGCCGTCATTTTCACGCTATATGTAAGTCCTCCAGTTTTCAGTTTAGATAATTTTATATTTGATTTGATTGTTTAAGGGCTTAACTGAAATCTCACAATTGTCACGTCTCCAAAATTTGTAGTAGTTAATTTCTTAGTTCTTTTGAATCAACAATGTAAAGCTCTGTAGAACTATGTGATGTTTGACTTGCTACTTTGAGATGAAGATACGATTTATTTCCTGTCATCTAATTTCTATTTTCTTTCAGTTTTATTAACAAATGGGCATTTCTAACTAGACCAAGTAAGCTACTAGTTAATTTTTTCAAGATATTTATTGACGTCGATATACGTTGACTCTGAGAGCATTGATGGAGATCATATTACGTGGCATAGTCTTTCTTTTTGCTTATTTCTGTGGATATAGTTCTGAATTGTTATTCTGACAGTTTAGCAGACATCAGTTGTGGCTATGTTCTATCTGATTTCTTTTCACTGGATAAATCTCCTTACTTTCCTTGGTCTATTGTCTGAATCCACTTCGCCATAATTCCTTCGGAGTTTTTTGAATTTTCTTTCCTTTAGCTAAAAAAGTTAATAAAAATTACAAGTCAAAGTTAAAAATTAATTTTAATTACACATTAATGGGATCCACAGTCTTCATCAACTTTTCAACCTCACATATTTTCAACTTCTATCAAAATCTACTAAAGATCAATTTTTTAGCAAAATCAAACAGGATTAATCAGCTGTCTTTGGTTACCAATAAGTTAGGTTGGAATATGTAGGGACACCCATGTTGGTCCATGTTCTCCTGTAAGATCCATTTCTACATGTTATTGCTGTGTTAATACTGAACCAAAATAAAAATAAAAATAAAAATAAAAAATACTGTTTCTATTTATAGCTAGTAGCTACCTTCAGTTGAACAACGACGATTTCTGTGCCTTAAAGAAGAGGCTGGCGGAAAGTGGTAAAACTTCGACAAAAATTCTTAGAACTCACCATTTAGCACTGTCATGTTTAGGTAAAGCTGTTCTAAAACGAACTGGGGTTGTCAGGAGCTTCGTATGTGACTGCAGATATTGGAGTAATTTTGGGTGACTTTTGGCCATTTTTCAAGGATAAAAAAGATTGTGGTGACACAGTTGTGCTATTCTTGTATAGGGGAAAAAGTATTGGATAAGTACGGGTTTGGATTTAAGATTATAATGGCCTTCAGATCTGGAGAATTCATGTTAAGAGTTCCACTGAACTAGGCCTACATGTATACTGTAGCATATCAAAATACAAGTCATGATGTTTCGTGTGTCCTTGAATGGTTATTCGTCAGATAGTGAAAAGTGTGATCCATCCATTTTGATTCATGGTTTTGATGGAAGTGGCCCTCTCTCTTTTTCCTCTGAAAAATTGTCCGTAGCTTTTGTTCCTGTTCCCAGAAAATGGACAGATTGTCCAGTCCAACCTTGTTTCAATGCTTACAAAATTAATGATGAAGAATTAATAAAAATTGTTGAGAAATTCAATTGGGCTATATATATATATATATATATATATATATACACACACACACACACACACACACACACACACACACACACACACACACACACACACACACACACACATACATACTGCTATTATGCTATATAACCATCAGATATCTTGCTCTTGAGATGCCAGGTTTCCGTTGTCCACAATATAGAACGAGAATGTGAATTGTTGTCTCTGAACATGGCTTGACAATTCTGAAAATTTGCTAGCAATGTCATGTAAAGTATGACCTCCTGTAAAAAGTTCAAACTTGCCCTTGTTTATGCCATTGAATGAGTAATGAATACTCTAGTTTCACCTTGATATGAGTAATTTGAGAAAATGTTAAAAGTACATTAATTTTTCTTGCATTTCCATCTTGCATATAGATATATGAACTAAAGTGAAAATTGTGGGCCTTATTGTCGTAATTTCTTGAAGTGGGTTGATTCTTGATAAGGGGGGGCCATGTTTTTTAATTACTGTACTGTTTAAAAAAGGTAGTTTAGAAATGTTCGATTTGAAAATGAGTGCACTTGGGAAAATAGGCTTATTTTGGGACATCTCAAAAAGGATATGCATTCAGTTTGAGATAAATGAAGTAGCTACTATAGTAATATTCTGGCTTTGAACTATGATGCACGAACCAATTACTGTGGTTATCTTGCTTGAAGAAAACAGGGAAGTGCACAAGTGTCCAATGAGGCTGGTCACCACTGACTTGGTTTCATACATGCATATCCTTGTAAGTGACCCTGCAGATTGAATAACTACCTTAGGATTTGAAAACTACAGATAAGAAAGTTCATGACAGATGAAGTTTTATGGTCTTCACTTCACATGCCACCTTGAATGCTTGACTTATTAGATCTACGCCTAGACCTCTTTTGCTGCTACAATCAACGTCATAATTGCTCGGGTGTGTACCTTGGTTGTTTCTTCCAGATGGTGTGATCCATGGTGCATGTTCTTATTTCTTGGTTTTTGGGGGAAAAAAGGTCAAATTGTAACAAGAAAAGAAGAAGTAATTGGCATTTTAGGATTCAAGTTTGACCTTCTTAGATGAAGAGATGCTCTGCCACTGCACTGGGACGGATCCAAATCGTTAACAAAAGGCTCTGCACTTATCTAAGCAATAGCTTTCAACTGCCCCATGCAAATCTGGATGATCTTCCTGTGGTCACTGAGAGAAAAAGCAAGAACCATTTAGAGAGTCACCGTAGCATAGTGATAGACTGATAGTTTCAGGCGTCAACATTTAAACATCAAAATTGAGAATCCTGACTATTGCAGGTCTCCCTCTTTTTAACCTTTTAACATGGCTAACACCTTCTAACTCGTTATCTAGATGGCAAAGAACTAGTCAAATAACTCTACATTATTAAGTGCATCCTGATATGCAAGAATTAATTTTTGATTATTATCTGCATCCTTTTTATTATAGGATACCAATCAAACTTCATTCCATGTATCTGTTTTACAGGCGTTAGTTCTTCTCCTCCTAACTTCTGGGAGAGATCCTGGTATTATTCCTCGCAATGCTCATCCTCCAGAACCGGAAAGTAATGGTCACCCGGAACATGGGCCTGGTCAAACACAACATTTGCCTCGCATAAAAGATGTAATCGTTAATGGAGTTACTGTGAAGGTCAAATATTGTGATACGTGTATGCTATATAGGCCTCCACGCTGCTCTCACTGTTCAATTTGCAATAACTGTGTGGAACGATTTGACCATCACTGCCCCTGGGTTGGACAATGTATTGGATTGGTAAGTTTTCTTTTTATGATTTTATCACTTGTTATACGCATCAAACTAATCCTGAATAAAAATGTTTTACCTATTTCCTCTTGGACATCGACAGCTATCCATTCTATCTATTCTTTCAAGTTGTGATAATTATTTTGGTCCGGTTGGATGATTGATTTTCTCATTCACACGTGTCATAAAGAAAGAAGGTTGTTTTTTCTGTTTTTGTTCACTGTTGCTTAGCAACAATTGGATGTAAAGGGATTTGTAAATTTCTGATACAGTTTTGGTTAAACCTGGTTTGTTTGTTGCTTGTGCCCTTACATAAGGGCATGCAGACTGTTCTGGTTGTAGTACAGCCATTAATTAAAGAAGGTCCGTGTTGCATAGAAAATTATCTGTCCTCCCATGTACTGGTCTCCTAGCTTCCTCTGTCCCTCCCTATGTTCCTTCCTCTGTTTGTTTGTTTCCCCATCCACTTAGACCTTCATCCTAGCTCAGTCCTCACCACCAGCCTCCCAATTCCCAAACCCTGCCTTATATGAAATCACCAGTCACAACCATCAGATACCTACCGCTATCACCACCACTTCTCCCTCATCTAATCTCAATCTCCAAAAGTATCAAAATCAAAGGAAAGAAACATGAAGATTGTCAACACTGTCAATTTTCAGCAAAAATGAAGCCTTTTGTTTCATCTGTCTTTAATAGATAAATGTGCTCTGTGCAAACTCACAAGCTCGATATGGATGCCAAGTTAATCAGTGCCTGTTGTGTGATGACTGTTGTTGATGATGGCTTTTAAGTTATGGTTGTGGTCACAAAGGGAACCTGTGGTGATGGCTATCTAATGATGTTCCTTTGTGGACTTCCTAGTCCCCTCCTTCCTCTAGTTGTTTACATGACTCACTATCCTTTTTGGTTTTCATCCAACTTAGTCCATGATTATCTTTTTGGGAGTTCTAACAATGTTTTTAAACTTCATTAAAAAATATCCCTAGAAATTTCTATTGTATTTTTAACACGTTCAATTTCTTTATCCCTCCCCGTTGCCATTGTTATTGAACCATGAACATGGAAGAGACTTACTCTGAAAATCTAGTGGGTTAGATTTAGCAAGTGAAAATGTAAATACCAGCAAGTTTGGTACCTTTGTTGGTACTTCAAGAATATGTCTCAATTGTGAGATTTGATGAAATATTTACACCTGTTACAGTTCAGTCTTGATTTTTCTTTCACTTCAGATGTAGCGACTTTTATGTGTATACTTCTTCACTGTGGATAGCTTTGGAAGTCAAGACAGCTAATATTAACATATCTGTTAACTATGAAGAGTTGGGAGCATTTGAAAGGCGCCAATTCAGAAAGTAGTGGCAGTACTCGAATTAATTTAACAGAAATCACTGATTTATTAATGAGAATAACCAATGTATTTTGGCTCTTGCAATGAAGAAATCCTAATTATTCACATGTTAACGGTTTTCTGCTATCATGATAATAAGATTCCCATAAGAATGATCTACTATTCTAATTATATGACTTCTTAAGCCTCGTGTACTTATCCGATTTTAAAGAAATTTATTACTTTTGTTTGGAAGAATCATCTTTGTGATTATTGCCGGTCTTCCTTTCTCTTCCATCTAATAGAATTTCTCTTTCAATAAGACTACGTTATGTGAAAGCTAAAAGCTCGTTGAATTAAGTTGCTGATCTCTTTTTCTCGTATTCTCGATGCAGAGAAACTATCGGTTCTTCTTCATGTTTGTCTTCTCAACAACTCTTCTTTGCTTTTACGTTCATGCCTTTTGCTGGGTGTATATAAGAAGGATAATGGATAATGAACACACCTCAATATGGAAAGCAATGGCCAAGACCCCTGCCTCCATTGTACTAGTTATTTATACATTTTTAGCAGTCTGGTTTGTTGGTGGCCTTTCAATTTTCCATCTCTACCTCATCAGTACAAACCAGGTAATGCACTGATTCTTTTGTACTGTAAATTGGTTTTGTTCTTGACATCCGTCACTTTAAAGTTAAAGGGGTGAATTACCCAAATAGTCACTGATTTTTGTAAAAGGTTTCCATGGGGTCACTGAACTTTAAAAATCATATAATTCATCACTAAACTTTACAAAAAAATTTCATGAGGTCACTGAACTTTAAAAATCACCTAGTTCATCACTAAACTTTGCAAAAGATTTTTTAAACCTGATGAATGGGGTGATTTTTAAAGTTCAATGACCCTGTAAATTTTTTTTGCAAAGTTCAGTGATGAATTTGGTGACTTTTAAAATTCAGTGACCCCATGGAAACGTTTTGCAAAGTTCAATAACCATTTGGGTAATTCACTCAAAGTTAAAGCACGGGTACCTCGATGGAACATTTGGTATGTAGTGACCCTGTGAAAACCTGATGAATGGGGTGATTTTTAAAGTTCAATGATCCCGTAGAAATTTTTTGTAAAGTTCAGTGATGAATTGAATGATTTTAAAAGTTCAGTGATCCCGTAAAATTTTTTTGCAAAGTTTAATGACCATTTGGGTAATTCACTCAAAGTTAAAGCGTGGGTACCTCGATGGCACATTTGGTATGCTGGATTGTCCATTAAGCAATAAAAAGAAAATATCTTGTTCTTTGTCCTGCATAGTGCTGTCAGTTTTGTGTAATAAAGATGTCCTGATTTTTCCTTGTGGTTTCCAAGTTGCATGATCTAAAACCTTTTGTAACATATGGTATTTTATTTGCTCTGCAGTCGACGTATGAGAATTTTAGATATCGGTATGACAGACGGGATAACCCGTATAATAAAGGAGTGGTTCAAAACTTTATGGAGATATTCTGCAGCAGTATGCCTGCATCCAAGAACAAATTCAGAGCAAAGGTGATGAAAGAACCTGCCTTACAACCTTCAGTAGTCAACAGTTTTGCTGTTCAAAACTTGAGAAGCCACTTAAAAATGGAAAAAATCGAAGACGACAGAGAAATCGGAAGGAAGCCAGGGTGGAATGAGGCGTTAGCTAGTGAAAGTGAATATCAAAGACATTATAGACCCAAGGACAGTGAAGATAAAGATGCTGAGCTTGATGTAGCATCCTCAGAGCTAAGCAGAGTTACTCGTTCTGAGACAATAGATGGACGAAGGCGATCTAGTTGGGGAAGGAGAAGTGGGAGCTGGGATATCTCGCCCGAAGTATTTCCTATGGCATCGGGAGCTGGAGACTCCAATCGGATAACTCTTGCCAATAGCTAGAACTTGACAAAAAACTGGCAATAGCATGTTAATGTTGCTGTAAATTGAACTGGAGAAAATGACACAAAGGTAAAGAGACCAGAGAATGATAATAGTGAGGTGCTTGCAATTGTTTCCATTGGAACATGCTGTTCCCAACGGTATTGAAGTGTGCTAATGTGCATATAATGTATTCATTTCTTAAGAGAATCCAGTTGCTTTGTAATTCGCCAAATGTACGTGTGCCTACACACATATACCTAATTTTTAATGTGACAATCTCTCTTATCACAGAGTTTTGAGAACCCATCTAGCCCTCTAGGTTGGACGAAAAAATTCAGGAACCAGTTGCATGATCATAGCCCAGAACCACAAGTTAAAAATCAGATGAAAATCGACCAACCAGACCATTCAATCAAGAACCGGTTAATCTGACCTTGACCTGGTTCTTCAGTTATCATTTTTCATTCAATTTTATTACACAAACAGAGTCAATGACATGATTTAAAAAATCAGGGCACGTGTCAAAAATTCATTGGACAATTTAAAAAAAATAAAAATAAAATTGAGATCAGATTTTATAACATTTGTCGAAATTGATGTCCGTGCTAAGCTTTACTGCATTTACATTCATTGCGCATTTCTCGTGGTGTTTGGATATATGATGAAAATTGAGTAAATGGTTTGTTTTAAATTAATTTATATAATTTTTATTCATGTTTTATATTTCATTTGAAATTAGGAATCCTTAATTACTTTTTAGTTAGTGTTTCTTTAATAAAAATCGGAATTTAATTCGGATTAGGGCATTTTAATTTTCGTCAGTATCCAAATTTTAGTCATTAATCAAATTTTAATTGCTATAATTATCTTGTTTTAAATAAGAGTGATAAGCCTTAACGGTGCTTGTTTGGTAGGAATTTTGATTATTTATTTTTTGACAGTTAGAGATAAAATGAATCTTATTTGTGAGAAAATAATTCAAAAATAACGACTGAAATAGTGAAATAACAGTCAAAAAATTGATTTTAATTAGCTTAAAATCTATACCAAACAAGCACTCAGTAGCTTTTGATTAGAAAAAAAAAAAACTAGTGAGATTTTCTTCCAATGTTTCAACTTATCGAAAAAATCAAGATCAAGAATTATGTATTCTTTGCAAGAATCAACGTTTTTTTAGGTCATTTTTTATGTTTTGTCATTTATTTATCGAATCAAGCTGCATCAATATGTTCCACGTACACCAACTAAACTACAAAATGCAAATAATTTCTTTGCAATACATTTAGGACCCATTCAGTATGATTTTTACTTTTATTTCCTGTAGAAGCTACCTTAATTTTTATTTGAAAACTAATTTTTTTTTTAAAAAAAAAATTCCTACCCCCAAAGTACTTTTAGAAGAAGTCACATTGAATCAATTTCTTCTAAAAGCTCTTCTAACTAGAAGAACTACTTTCATAAAATTAAACTAACGAGTCCAACAGTAGCTTTTGGAACTTAAAAGTTCCTTTTAACTTCTCAAAAATCATAACAAACAAGGCCTTAGTAAGGCGACGAAGGTAAAAGCTTGTAAGATGCAGCCCTTTCGGTTGAAAAGAAAATTATCAATTAGTAACAATACTAGCAGAAATATCACCAACATCTCACTAATGACGAATTGAGTAGCACCGAAACGAAAATTTGAAAAGATTACTAACAATGCACTTTTGGGATCAAGGATAACTCTCCCACTTCTGATGAGACGGTGGTCCAACTTCACTGCATGTTCTGGAAGCGTTTCATAATGATGAGACTCATATCCATGTAACGTTGAGCACAGTTGGTGAGACAAGACGACTCACTAGAACTGAACTTGCTCCCAGGAGTGCCTGTGATGCATTTGTCCCAGCACACAGTTGTAAGCTTTGCGATCATTTCATTAACCATAGCCTTTTCCCTTTCTTGCTGTTAAGATTCAGATATTATTGTCAAATGGTAGTAAGACAGGCTCCTACATGCCAAAGCTTTGACGAATCAACAAATAAGAAGTTTATTTAGATACTAAAAGTGATTATTGGACAGAAATGTTCTGAATGGTTCAAATGAAGATTAGGCATGGCAATAACTACAATGCCACGAGAAAAACCAATGGACAAGAATACTGCTTCATTGAATAAAAAGACCTTAAATTCCCGCCCGCCCCCACAGAATCTGAATTTTTGACCCCCGTGGTTTGACAAAGCTATGCACAACATAAAACAGTAATCTACCAGATGTCCAATGTCCACATACCATGCTACCTTATAGATATAAAATCAATGAAACCGTAATTATCTTAATATGCAGCAGCCTTCGGATTCTATGTTATTCATTTTATGAGTTTCCATTCTTGACATTAACAGTTGAATCCAGTATTAATTCTTAAATGCCAACAGAGGAACGGCTTCTAGTACCAAACCAATAATGGCATGAATAAGCCAAAGTCACAACTTCAGAAAATTAACTCAATATTTGAGATGACTGCATGTTGCAGCTGCCAATTACATTTTTGATAATCAACTTCCAGATATGCTTGATCAGTAAATTAAAGGTCTTTTCATATGCGCTTCTCATGTGGTCACATCTCCCAGTCGTGGAATTACTTAGGTTTATGTTGATTAAAAACAAAGGAAAAGCCACAGATTACTAAATCTAGCTATTCAATAATCAATAGATACTGGTTTCTATGTCTCGAGTCTCAGTACTTAATCCTTTCCAAATCAGTTCCATGATTTGTGGCCTTCAATACAAGTGTTTTTGGATGGTTAAGAATGCCTTTTTTCAAAGGCAGAAAAGGTCTAAGTCATCGAGTTAACTTCTTCCATGTTCAAATGTCTACCTCTCCACCATCTCCATAATTCAATTTTCATATTTGGAAGAAATGCTCTTCTCCAAAGCAGAAACTAATTTCAGACATTAGGGCAGCTTAAAAGAATTTTAACCCTCAATTTTTCCCAAATTTTATACCTCATTGAAGTGGCCAATAGGTAAACCCGTCGTGAACATTTGGATATGTATTCCTGAAGCTTTAATCGAATGCAGCATACAAAAATATTCAAGGCCGAAGAAGACACTATTAATGTCTCCCCATCACCAAACCACATACGAATATTGCATTTCAAGGCTTCCAATGGGTGCTTAAAGTTAAAGTATAGATACAAGCTTGAAAAAATTTTAAGATTCAAGTTCATTCGGAAATTTCAGCATTCATTAGACATATGTGAGATGTCCA